TCCCCGTCTACAAGAACATCCGCGAGTTCCGGAAGGCGTGCGTTGGACGTGGAGCCGCTCGACGCGAGAGAAGACTTCCTGCGCATCGTCAAGTGCTCCAGGATCGAGGGCGCCGTCCCCTTCCGTCCCTAAGTCACGCACTTGCCCCGCGTGCAGCTCCGAGTGCACGATGATGACAAAGTGCTGCGGCGACGATTGCCGCTGGCTCTGTCGCGGGCCGCGGTGCGATTGGACCACGTGCGAGGACTGCGGCGACAAGGAGGTGAGCGTGGCAAGCGGCGCGCTCCTGGGCGTGGCGAGAACCTCGCCGTGGCTATCCTTGCTGGACACCCTGGTCATGTGGGTTCAGCAGCACCCGCGCATCGCCGTGATTCGCGAGGCTAAGGGGTATCAAGAAGTTGCAGAACGATGGCTGGCCATCTTTCAGGGCATCGCCATCGCGTGCATCCAGGGCAAGATGTAGTTGGCATCTCTGCATGGCGACCACCTGGAGAAGCGCAAGGCCACGGCGAAAGGCCGTGCGAAACGAGCGGCCGCGCCGAAGGCCCGCGGCAAGAACACTGCTGTGAAGAAAGCCAATGGAAGGCGCGTCGCCACCAAAAGCGGCATCGTGAAGAAGAAGGCTGCTGCTAAGGGCCCAGAGGGGAAGAAGGGGAAGTCCAAGCGCCCCGCCATGAAGAGGGCGAGCCCCTCGAAGCTTATCATCCAGGCAGACGAGGCGTACCTCATCAAGGGGAAGATCGCGTGCCTGACGCCTGGCTGCCGCGCCAAGCCCGACAACATATGGCTCTGGGGCGTCGTCGTGCCGGGGTGGCCAGAGCATTTCTTCTTCCGCGTGCTCGACCACCCGTCGGACGCGTATGATGGTCGGCCGCGGGGCAAGGCAAATATGATCAAGAGCTTCGACATGGTGGGCCTCCGCAAAGGCATGACGTTGGTGACGGATTCGTGGGGTGGCACGCTGGAGACAGTGAAGCACATCCGCGCCAGGGAGGGCTGGTTAACGCGCGACCTTCCCCACGAGGTGGTGGTGCACTCTTACGGGGAGACGGTGAACGCGCGCGGCTACAGCACCAACGCTATCTAAACCAGGCGGTCTGTGCTGAAGCGGTGGGTGAAGAAGCGGAACGGGGCCAGCTGCCGCTCACCTCGGACAGGCGCGCTTGGAACAGGCTGATCACGGAGTTCCAGGATCGGAAGGTCGCGTCCAAGGGGCACACACTGGACGGCGGCAACACGCACTCGGTGGCCACATAAACATTATTGCAGCACATGGCCGAGGTGCACGCGCAGGGGAATCTGTGAGCTGAGCTCGCCATCCTACTCCCGACGGGGTTTTCGGGCTGTTGCGTTTTGGTTGCGCTGGCACAGAAGGCACAAAACACATATCACACTTTTCCAACCACTCGTCCTCGCCTTTTCTTACCCTCGCCCTCCTCCTGAAACCATCTCAAATGAAGATGCCCCAAACGCGGGGGACGGTTATGTCCCTTGAACAGCGGGCCAACCTATACATCACACTTTTTGCCTGACAGAAAACAGCACAGCCAGCCTCACCTGGGTGCCTCCTTCTATTCTAGTATTCATGGGTCTTCATGGGGACGGAGGAGGAGGATCACCCGACGCCGCTCTTTTATGCATACTCACTTGCTGCTGTGCCACCTTACAGAGGCGACAGTTACATTGCAAGCAGAGTAAGTATCTGTTCTTGACTAAGGGTAGCAGCCCAATACTTGACCACTGACTGTCTTTTTCAACTTGGGGGACGCGTGAGCAATTTGCCCACGAGGGAAGAACCTCAGCACGACTGCTGCCTTACAGCAGCACGCTTTGCCAGACCTAGCACGCAGCATACATATAGCCTGACGACTTGGGATGGGCGTCTGGTGGAGTTTGGGAACTGTTGGGGAGTGCCTACGGTTTGGGGTCAACCTTAAACCCTGGGCAGCAACCCTAGAATTCCTACATTTCTTCAATTTCGCACCTATCCACTTGCATGGCGTTTTTCTCTACCTTACCGAGGCGACTCTCAACATCAATCGCGTGATACCTTACTGGCTACATCCGGGAGGAGAAGGAGGAGTTTGTCTACTAAGGTGAGTGTTGACCTCTACCTGGCTCGCGCCTACTTTCTTTGCTTTACTTTTCATGGGCTCTCTTTTCCCACATTTTCTACGGCGCCCGCCAAGTACAGTACCCCGAGTCGGTTTTACTTTTCTCGCACCTGCAAGAACGCGACAGGCTAGTTTCTCACGTTAGTCAGACAATGAGGAGGAAGAAGGCGAGGATCGGGCACGCGCTTGCATGAACAAATGGTCTGTGGATGTGGCGCGCGGGCGCCAGATTTGCGGATTCGGAAACTCACACCCTAAAGCTGAAACCAATGCCGCCTGATCTGGCGACGGAGCACGTCGATGTGTAAACGGGATGCGTCGCTAATACACGCGCCTGAATCCATGGTTGCGCCTCCTCGCAGGATGAGGACGAGGAGGGCGAAGAGGAGGGGCAAAGGGGGGAAGGGGGGAAGGGGAGGAAGAGCGGGAGGAGGAGGAGGAGGAGGAGGAGGAGAAGGAGGCGAAGGAGGAGGATGCGGAGAAGGAGGAGGAGGAGGATTGATGATGATGCTGATGCTGATGCTGATGATGATGAAGAGAGGAGGAGGAGGAGGGGGAGGAAGGAGGAGGAGGAGGGGAGAGGAGGAGGAGGAGGAGGAGGAGGATGGGGAGAGGGAGGAGGAGGAGGAAGGAGGAGGAGGAGAGGAGGAGGAGGAGGAGGAGGAGGAGGAGGAGAGGAGGAGGAGGAGGGAGGAGAAGGAGGACGAAGAGAGGGAGGCAGAACATCGGGCGCACGCTTATATGGATAACAGATCCGTGGATCTGGCGCGCGGGCGCCAGATCCACGGGTCGCGGAAACACACACCCAAAACATGAAGCCAATGCCGCCTGATCCAGCGATGGAGCGCGTCGATATGGAAACGAAAGCTGTTGCATCCACGCGCCTGAACCCATGAACTTCCTCGAGGGAGTAGAAGGAGGAGGATGATGATGATGATGATTCTGCTGCTGCTGCTGCTGATGATGATGGTGAGGATAATGCTGATGGTGATGATGATGCTGATGATGCTGATGATGATGATGCTGGTGGTAATGCTGATAATGGTGGTGGTAATGATGATGCTGCTGCTGGTGATGATGACGATGATGGTGGTGGTGATGACGATGATGATGATGATGATGATGAGGAGGAGGAGGAGGATGAGGAGGAGGATGAGGAGGAAAAGGAGGAGGATGATGAGAAGAAGGAGGAGGAGGAGAAGGAGGACGAGGAGGAGGAGGAGGATGCGGCGGAGGAGGGAAAGGGGAAGGGGAGGATGAGAAAGAGGAAGAGGAAGAGGAGGAGGAGGAGGAGGGGATACCTCCCTTGTTCTCCCCCCGACTCGATGCTTTCCATGCCCCCTCGCCCCTCGTGCCCTGTCTGCTCGCGCTTCCTTTCTGCCCGCCCTTATCTTCGCTTTCCGCGCAGGACCTGGGCCCGAGGCCGTGCAGCGCGAACACCCCTCGCTACGCGCCGTGGGGCAAGATTGGTGGTGCGCTCGGGCACTTTGCCCTGCGGAATCGCGTGGACTTCCGTGGAGATCTCCTGGGCTCCGCAAGGTTCTGGGCCGAGCCCAGCAACTCATGGAAATTCGCCGGCCCAACGGGCCAGAGGCGTGCTAAGATCTCCGGTGACTGCTTTACAATCTTTCTACTTCGCGCGCGCGGGGCGGCCCCTGGGGGCCCCCGGGCGGAAAGTACCCCGGCAAGGTCCCGAGAGAGTCCCGGGAGGAGTCACCAGGGCGCTCCAGCAGCGCACCAACGCGGCTCCGAGACGTCCCCGAGAGCCCCAAGAAGGGCCAAGAGGCTTCCAAGAGGCCCCCAAGATGCTACATGATGGGTCCGAGATGCCACAAGATCGCTCCAAGACGCCCACGATGGCCCCCAGACGCCCCAAGAGGCCTCCAAGAGCACTCCCGAGAGGGCCCTGAGAGGCAAAACTCACTGCTTTTCCCTAGGTTTTGGAGAGATTTTGGCGTTTCCACCTTTTCGGCTTCACGACACCCCAAGACGGCCCAAGAGGCCCCCAAGACCGCCCCAAGAGGGCCCAGGAGGCCCCCAAGAGGGCCCCAAGACGGCCCAAGAGGGCTCCAAGACGGCCCAAGAGGCCTCCAAGACGGCCCAAGAGGGCCCCAAGAACGCCCCAAGAGGGACCCCAGGGGGGGAACACGAAACAATATTTCGAGCCCTCGGCCCTCAGAAGTCCCCAGGAGGCCCCAAGAGGCCCCTAAGAGGCCCCAAGAGGCCCCCAACAGGCCCTCAGGAGGCCCCCAAGAGGCCCCCAAGCGGCCCCAGGAGGCCACCCAAATGCCCCCCCGAGCACGCAAGCAAGTGCCAGCGACGCTACAATATGGGCCGGCGGAATGAGCGAAGCGATTCAATAAACGCGCCTGGGCCAGACTGGTCGGCAAGCCGCGAAAAACTTTCTGCGAGCTTTCGTGCCGCCAGCCCTGCCGAAAAAACATCTCCGTATCCGCGGCCTCGCGGGCTGGGCCCCTGGGCCGCGACCCCGCGGATACGGGGCGTTGAATTTGGCGGATGCCCCGCGCGGAACGTGCCTGTGCGACCGCGCATCCACGGGATCGCGCCCGGGAATCAAGATAGCGAGGGCGTGGATATGGATACGTTCGCCGCTCATTACTCTCGCCGCGGGAGTCGTGCACCCCACTTGCAGCCGGTCGTGTGCCTTTCGACCGCCAGCAGCGTGATCGCCTGTCTCCTGCTCCTCCACGCTCGCGCGAAAGCTCTGGGACTCGCAGCCGTGTAGGGGAGCCGTCGGAGGCCGAACGCGAGCTAAGGGAGTGACGCGGTGACGCCATTCCCGGGGGGGGAGTGACGCGGGGACGCGAGCGACGCCTGACGCGCGTGTCACTCGGCGCAGGGCTAATAGGAGGGGGGAGCGAGGTCCTCGCACAGAGAACGGAACTTGCTGTTGTTCTCCTCGCAGATGCCGCGGGCGGCTTCGAGGAGCTGCAGCATCCTGGGCACGCCGGGTCAGGCCGAGTATCCCGGCTGCACTCTGGGGCACTCGCGGGAAGGCCAGAGGACAAGCAGTCACCGCACGCGGGTGGTGTCCAAGCAAAGCTGCCGTGGCTCTGACGCCGCCGCCCTCCTCCTCATCCAGCTCTTTCCGCTCTTCCTCTCCTTCTCCCTCTTCCCGCTCCCACTCCCTTGCTCCTTCTCCTCCTTCTCCTCCTCCTCGACCTCTTCGACCTCCTTGTCCGTTTCGTTCTTCTTGGCCTGCTCGCTCTCATCGTCCGCCTCGTCGCCGTGGTCCTCTCTCCTCCTCCCCTTCCTTACCCCTTCCTTCGTCGTCGCCTCGTCGCCTCGTCGCCTCGTCACCTCGTCGCCGTCGCCGTCGCTGTCGCTGTCGCCGACGTCGTCACCGTCGTCGTCGCCTTGTCACCTTGTCGCCTTGTCGCCTTGTCGCCTTGTCGCCTTGTCGCCTTGTCGCCTTGTCGCTGTCGACATCGTCGACGTCGTCGTCGTCGTCGCTGTCGTCGCTGTCGTCGCTGGGGTGGCTCCCAGGCGCCAGGCCGCCGGCAGCCTTGCCCAGGGCGCAGCCGGGCGCCCGCCCAGCGAGCTCACGCCGCAGCGCGAGCAGGCGTAGGACCTCGGGATTAGGGGAGGAGCGTACCCCTGCCCGCCGTCGCTCTCCTCGCCCTGCTCCTCCTCCTCATCCTGCTGCAACTCCTCCTCTTCCTACCTCCCCTTCCTGCCTTCCCTCCTTCGTACAGTCCGTTCTTGCTTCCCCTTTCCCTCCTATTCCTCAACCCTTTCTCATTCTCACCCTCTCCCGCGTCCTCCTCGTCCTTCGTCCTCTTCCTGTCCCCTCCTTTGTTGCCCCCATGACCCTCCTTGCCTCTTCGCCCTCCTGCAAACTGTCGTCGTCCTCCTCGTCCTCGTCTTCGCCGTAGTCGTTGTCCTCCTCCTCCTCCTTCTCCTCCTCCTTTTCCTGCTGCTCGCCTCGCCCCCCCCTCCCTCCCTTCCTCCTCCCTCCTCCTCCTCCTCCTCCCTTGTCCTCCTCCCTGCTCCTCCTCCCCCTGCTGCCTCCTCCGTCTTCTCTCCCAACTCCCTTCATCCTCCTCCTCCTCATCATCATCGTCATCCTCCCTCCTTCTCCTCCTCCTCCTGCTTCGCCTCCTCTTTTTTTTGCGTTAAGCAAACTTCAGGTGATAACCTGTGGCGTTCGTGAACTAGCACGAGAGGAAAAAACATTAGTCCGACTCGGGACAGTCAGTACCTGGCGAGCGCCGCAAGAACAGCAGTAATAATAGGGCGGCGGCGAGTGTAGAAGACAGAGTCGGCGTCCGCCATGTGCAAGAGGACAGCGTACCTTAAAGATGAGAGTCCCCAACACCTACGTCTAATAATGCTAAGCCCCATAAGATTCAATAGTGCGCGCTGCCTCCTATCACTGATAAACAGCAGGAGCAAGTAGCAAGAGCTGACTACTGACTGTAGGCTGGCCTTGTGGGCTGAGCTGTACGAAGAGCAGCTACTTTAGTGCGATACCGGAAGAAAGCAAGTTACACTACCAGTACCACCACCACCACCTCATCCATCATCAAGAATGCCATCTTTTTTCCCGAATGTGTGGCACCTTGGCAGGCTGCAGCTGCGAGAGATAAAAGCATGGCTGTAGCAATCATTGGGTTGCCGCCCAAAATTTTGGCGGACCCCGAACCGTGTTAAATAGCAGTTCGTGGGATGCTGCCCTTGCTGGTTAGTAAAAAAGGTACGGCCAACAAACAGATAGGGACGGGCATGTGTGACTGGTGTTTGCTGCAGTGTAGTGGCAGCTGGTGCTCGGGCTTCTCATATGGGCAGAATGCTTATATGTATGGAATGGAAACTAAACAAGCACGTCTGCCCTCTTTGTTGTGCATATCCTCCGCCACCCCCCCAATCCTCCCCCACTCCCACCGAGCCCCATCTTGGTAGCAATTCTTGGGATGCTACCCGTACTGTGTAGTGTTTTATCACAGAGAGGTGCAGGATACGCCATTGAAGGCTCGTGTTGTACAATGGTCCCTCTTTGCTAACCCTAGGCCCGCTCTTTTAGCCAACAATCGGCCCGCTCTTCGGTTCCTAGGTGGAGGGGCCACCGTCACCGTATTTATGTCAGGGGTATGGGGGGCAGGCCAAAAAGAACGAGGTGAGAAAGTAGGCCGGGCATGCTGCAACGGTCTCCTGCGCAAGCTGGCCTGTAGATTTAGGCCCATGAAAAAGTGTGAGCCAAGCATAGCTTACTACGGTGTCCGTAAATAGCATAAAACCTGCAGACATAAGGCTTGGATAGTGTCTAGGATATAGCGCTGCTTGTCGAACAAAAACAAGCCTGAGCTGCGGTGAAAAAGTGGGCCTCCTCCTCCACCTCATTCCCCCCGCGTGCTACTAGTGAAGAGAGGACGATAGGTGATGCAATGACACAGAACAAAAATCGGATACGGGGATGGAGGGAGCGTCTTGCCCGGCCCTTCAGCAAGCAGCAACGACCCAGGAGAAGGAGGGGAAGGAGAGGCCGATGGCCCAGCGGAGCGGGGAAGGCGAGAGGAGCGGGGAGGGGCGAACGACGGCAGGATGGGCCAAGACAGGGCAAGAGATGGGTAGGCCATGGTGAAAAGATAAACGGCGCCACCGCGTTGTATTAAATGGAGGTCGAGACAACAAAATATACGCGATACCCACGTGATGTGTCTAGGTCACTGGTGCCATTCTCGTAGCGGATTTGAAGTCAAAATCCGACTCGTCCGCGCATGGATCCTGGATGTACTGTAAAACAAAGATTCCGTTCGCAATCAGAGAGGACACGCGCGTATCGTAGACGCGCCCAATGGCAAGCACAACTATGTAGCCATGCCCAGCGGCGGCCGTGACGAAGACGTCACGGACTGCGGAAAGAATCTGGCCGTGCGTGGCGCCGCGCTCGGCTCCGTTCGTATCCGTGTTTTCCAAAGTGGGAAGCTGTCGCGAACGAGTCCAATTAGTTCGTCGTGTACATCAGCAGCGGGATCGGGATACTTTTGATTTTGCACCGCTGTGCTGTCACCAAGTGTACGACTGCGTTCTGAACACGACACTCGGTCTTCCCGATAATCGTGGTGCATGACTTCGGCGTTGTGGGTTTCCGAAGTTGTCGACGACGGTGCCTCGGGGCCTCCACCTTCCCTTGATACGACGTGAGGTTAAGAATCGCATGTTGCCATCTCGAATGCTTGCACGACTTCGGCGTTGTGGGTTTCCGAAAATGTCGACGACAACGCCTCGGGGCCTCTCCCTTGCAACGACGTGGGATGCTGAAACGTATGTCATCATATGGTTTGCTTGTTGCACGCTTTCAACGTTGTGGGTTTTCGAGGATGTCGACGAATGCGCCTCGGGGCCTCCACCTTCCCTTGTTGTTGGTTTGTTGTGCTACTTCTGCGTTGTGGGTTCCCGAAGATGTCGGAAACAGCGCCTCAGGGCCTCCACCTTCACGTACATATGTCGTCGTTCCCGATGGCTCCGGGCATTGAGCTGCACGTGTCTGTCTGTCTTTCAACTGAATTGTCAACTGCGTCATTGACTCGCGGGGGATGCAGTGGTAGAGGCGGAGGAGACCCCGCAGAGATAGGAGGAAACCGCAAAACCCCACATGCGGGCACGTGGGGCCCAAACACTGGCGCGCATTTTTGAAGACATGAGTGATGTTCAGCTGTGTTGGTACAAATGACAAACCGATCCTTATCGGCACGGTTCGCCTTGGGAACAGCAGTATGTTTGGAAAGTCGGCTCACGTCTTTGAGGGCAACGTGTCTGCCACGAGTACGAGCGGCAAACCCAATCCCACCAGCCCTCTGGGCGTCGGTGGTTTAGGGCGTTTCCTCTTCCACCCCTCCCTCTTCCCCTTCGGGGAGGGGTTTACCCCTCCCCCTACCCCCTCCCCACTGACCTGGACAGGAGGGACGGGGAGCGGTCAGAGCGTCCAAAACGGCCTCGGCAAGGAAGCCCAAATCATTGATTTTACTATGGTTTTGGCCCCATTTTGGCCTTCTGAGGGGGCAGCGCTAATTAGAGCTCCCCTCTTCTTTGATCGATTTCCTCCACGATGGCCGCAAGAGGCCCCCAGGATGCCCCAAGAGGCCGCAGGATGGCCCCAAAATGGCCCCAAGAGGCCCCCCAAGAGGCCCCCAGGAGGCCCCCAAGAGACCCCCAAGAGGCCCCAAGAGACCCTTCAGAGGCACCCAAGGGGCAAAGATGGCCCCAAAAAGCGCCCAGGAGGCCCCCAAAGGCCCCAAGATGGCCCCAAGAGGCCCCAAGAGGCCCCCAGGAGGCCCCAAAGAGGATCCCGAACGGCCCACAGAGGCCCCCCGAAGACCCCTCGTTTTTTTTTTTTTTTTTTTTTTTTTTTTTTTTTACAGCCGCGCGGGCGGAAGCGCCAGCGGCGGCGAGTAACGGTCGGGCTGCGGCCGAAACTAATTGGCCGGACGCGCGCGCGGGCCGCGGCCGGCGCCGGGGCGGCGGGTGCAAGGGTGCTGCAACCCAGGGTGTCTGACGCCCAGGGACCTGCACCCAAAGAATCTGTAACAACGCTGCCAAAATGGCGCGATGCAAATAACCCCAAGGTGTCTGAGGCCATGGCCAAGCAGTACGCCGCTTGCTGGTGGGGATACGCGAAGCGTCTAGAATTCCGTTGGATGCTTTTCTCCATTCGTTGCTATGTGCACTCCTGAATGTTATAGTATCGGATATTCCGAGAGGAGAAGAAATGCCCTGGCAAACAGGAGAGACAAAAGTAGCCATCGCTGGGCCTCGACAAATTCGGTTCGATCTCGGTCGCGCGAGCGCCCACCTGAAGGCGTTTTGGGCGCACTGACACGCCGAAAATGCTTGGCGGTCAGTGGCTTCCTCCTGGTCCTCCCCCTCTTCCTCCTCCTCCTCTTCTTTCCTCTCTCCTTCTTCGCCCCCAACTCCCCCTTTCACCTCCTCTGCCCCCACCCACCCTCCTGCTCCCTCCCACCGAGCTTACTGCCCATCCCCCTTGCCTGACTTAGGCAAGCGACCATTGGGGAGCCAATCGCTTCAGGAAGTAGAACGCATTAAACTAACGACTCCTCACATTGGTTTTGAGAAGGCTGAAATTGTCCACTTGCTTTTGCTCGCAATGCCTCCCTGTCTTGAACGATCCACTGCGGGCGTTCAGGAGGCCGCCGTGCCGCCGAGCTCCAAACGGACTCCTCCACCGCCGCGACATTGTCGAAGCCAGGGGGCGACAACTCCTTGAGATCGGTGAGGGCAGCTGCAAGCACCTCCCGGAGAAAGAATAGGGGGTGACATCAGGGACGGAGGCGGTGGAGGAACAAGGGGAATACGAGGAGGACGATGCCTAAACATCATTGCCTCATTTTTTCCAGCATGGGCCCCAAACAATGAGTTATTGTACACTGGATGCGGCGTGATGTGTAATCGCTGTGGTGCAGTCTATGGGTTGCAACTAATTTCTGTTCGCAGTGAATTGTCCACTCCACTGCTCGCGCAAACATCCCACCCACCCACCCGCAACTTGGTTTGCAAACTCTCTTAATACCGTAACGGTGGGTACCACATGGCACTTGGCAACAACAGCGACGCCGACGACGACAGCGACAACGACGATGACGACGCCGCCGACAACGACTACGACGACACCGACGACGTCTCCAACGACTTCGACGACGCCGACAACGACGACGACGACGACACCGACGACGACAACGACGACACCGACGCCGACGACGACGACGATGACAACGACGACGACGATGCCGACGACGACGATAACGACAACACCGACGACGACGACGACGTCAACGACGCCGACGACGACGACGCCGACGACGACGACGGCGGCGACGACGACGACGCCGACGTCGACGACGACGAAGACGACAACGACGCCGACGCCGACGACGACGACGAAGACGACGACGACGACGTCGCCAACGAAGACAACGAGGAAGGATGGAGGACGACGACGGCGACAACGACGACAACGAAGAGGGAGGAGGGAGGACGGCGACGACGCGAACTACGAAGGAGGAAGGACGGCGACGCCGATGACGACAACGACGAGGGAGGAGGGAAGACGACGACGACGACAACGACGACGACGACGACGACGACGGCGACGAAATAGGAGGGACGACGACGAGACGCCGACGACGGACGACGACGACGACGAGGGAGGAGGAGGAAGGACGACCACGGCGACAACGACGACGGAAACGACCACGACGCCAAAGAGGACGACGACGACGAACACGAGGAAAGACAGAGGACGACGACGACGACGACGACGACGACGGCGACGACGACGACGACGACGACGACGCAAGAGCGCGCGCGCACGCTTTTGTTGAACATCCGTGTTGCGAAACCTTGGGTTTTTGTAGGTTTTTTGGACGCACGATTTTGAAATCCTTCCGAAACCGATGGGTTTTGAAGGTTTTCGGCGTACGCCCGCGACGACGCGCGCGTCTGCACTTCGTTTCATTTTTTTGCAGAGGATTCTCGCGACGGCACACGCGCAAGGGCGTTCGACAGATTTCGAAATGCGCGCGCGACGCCCGTTTGGTAGCATTTTGTGAACATCTTGAATAACCTATGGTTTTCTTAAGATTTCGCAAGAGCTTTCGCGGAAGTTTTTTTAGCAAATCAGTGTTGCGAAACCCTGTGTTTTTGTATGTTTTTTGGAAACTCGATTGCGAAATCCTTCCCGCACCGAAGGTTTTTGAAGGATTTCGGCATGTGCGCGCGACGACGCGAGCGTGTGCACTTCGTCCCATTTTTTGCAAGGGATTCGTTAAACAGTGTTATGTTAGAACGAACAATGTCACCGCATAGTGTTTTTGACAAGGGAACCTCAGGGGGGGGAACCGGCCTAGCTGGGATGGTATGATTTCGTATTTAGGATGGACGAGTGTGCAGAATATATATATATATGTATATAATTATACGATCCCAGGGGGAAGCGTTAAGTCCGGGGGGGGGGGGTAGAGTCTATTCTCTTTTTAGAAAGGAGACTTGATTTTAACGAACGAGTTGACACATCCCGTGCTCTTGCAAACATCCCACCCACCTACCCGCAACTTAGTTTGCAAAATCTCTTAAGACCGTGACGGTGGGTACCGAATGGCACTTGGCAACGACAGCGACGCCGACGACGACAGCGACAACGACGACGACGACGCCGCCGACAACGACTACGACGACACCAACGACGTCTCCAACGACTTCGACGACGCCGACGACGACGACGACAACGACGACGACACCGACGACAACGACGACGCCGACGCCGACGACGACGATGACAACGACGACGACGATGACGACGCCGACGACGACGACGACGACGACACCGACGACGACGACGACGTCAACGACGCCGACGACGACGACGACGACGGCGGCGACGACGACGACGCCGACGTCGACGACGACGAAGACGACGACGACGCCGACGCCGACGACGACGACGAAGACGACGACGACGACGTCGCCAACGAAAACGACGACGAGGGAGGAGGGAGGACGACGACGGCGACAACGACGACAACAGGGATGACGGCGACGACGCGAACGACGAAGGAGGAAGGACGGCGACGCCGATGACGACAACGACGAGGGAGGAGGGAAGACGACGACGACGACGACAACGACGACGACGACGACGGCGACGAAATAGGGTGGACGACGACGCGACGCCGACGACGAACGACGACGACGACGTTGGAGGAGGAGGAAGGACGACCACGGCGACAACGACGACGAAAACGACCACGACGCCAAAGAGGACGACAACGACGAACACGAGGAAAGACAGAGGACGACGTAGGCGACGACAACGACGACGCGGGAGGAGGGAGGACGGCGACGACGACGACGACGACGCAAGAGCGCGCGCGCACGCTTTTGTTGAAAATACGTGTTGCGAAACCTTGTGTTTTTGGATGTTTTTTGGACACACGATGTTGAAATCCTTCCGAAACCGATGGGTTTTGAAGGATTTCGGCATACGCGCGCGACGACGCGCGCGTCTGCACTCCGTCCCATTTTTTGCAGAGGATTCTCGCGACGGCACACGCGCAAGGGCGTTCGACAGATTTCAACATGCGCGCTCGCGAAGCCCGTTTGGTAGCATGTTGTGAAAATCTTGAACCACCTATGGTTTTCTTAAGATTTCGCAAGAGCTCGCGCGTAAACTTCTTTAGCAAATCAGTGTTGCGAAACCCTGTGTTTTTGTATGTTTTTTTGGAAACTCGATTGCGAAATCCTTCCGACACCGAAGGTTTTTGAAGGATTTCGGCATGCGCGCGCGCCGACGCGCGCGTGTGCACTTCGTCTCATTTTTTGCAAGGGCTTCGTGAAAAAGTGCTATGTTAGAACAAAAGATGACCCCGCGTATCGTTTTTTTCCCTACCCAGGCTCTGCCTAGAAAGGTTCTTAGTCGGTGAACTTAAAAGGCCGGGCAGTGCAAAACGCCCCGGGCGGTTCCCCCGGCATCCGCCCCTCGGTTCCCCCAGTGACGTTCCCTTAGCTTAGTGTTGCTTATCTCATCTTAGTTTACCGTACTCCATCTTATTAGCTTGCTTAGCTTCATCTTAGCTCAGGCTTATCTTAGCTTGGCTTACCTTCATCTTAACTTCGCTGAGCTTTAGCATAGCAAAGCACAGCATCGCATAGCAGAGCGTAGCACGGCACAGCGCAGCATATCATAGCGTAGCCCAGCATAGCACAGCACAGCACAGCATATCATAGCGCAGCTTATCATAGCACACCATATCATAACATAGCATAGCTTAGCATAGCACAGAGCAGCATGACATATCATATCTTAGCATAGCTTAGCATAGCATATCATAGCATATCATAGCACAGCGTAGCATGGCATGACATGGCGTAGCATAGCATAGCAACTCATGCTGCTTTCCTAGGGGCTCCAAATTCTAGGTGGGTCGCGCTGGGGTAGTTTACAAGGGAGCCTCAGGAGGAGCGATACCGTTCCCCGGGGATAATGTAAACTCATATTTAGGATGGACATGTGATCATAATCATATATGATTTACATACCCGAAAGGGGGCGACGAACGCCAGGGGGTAGAGTTGTCCACAGTGAGTTGTCCACTCCACTGCCCGCGCAAACATCCCACCCACCCACCCGCAACTTGGTTAACCTCATGCGGCGGCGATTGAAATGGGTGCTTGGCGTTTGCTGGTGCATCTCTGCGGCCGCCCCAGCCCGCGCGTGCGCGCGCGCGGAGCGGCCAGGTAGTTTGGCGCGACCGACGAAACCGCGGTGGTGCTGACCGCTCGGCACATCCCAGCGGGCATTTGAGTGCGAGTCGGCGGCTTGGGCGGGTGCGGTATCATGGCGACGTCGACACTTGCAGGCACGATGACGATGTTAATGGCGATGCTGGTGACGACCAGTATAGACACGATGATGATGATGATCGTGGCGATGACGGCGCCGATGCCGATCCCGCCGACGACGATGACGGCGTCTTCGCGTCGGTGAGAGTGGCTCGCATGGGCTCATTTGACACGGATCGTGCCACCCCAGCGCGCGCGCAAGGGCGTTCGAACGATTTCGACATGCGCGCGCGAAGCCCGTTTGGTAGCATTTTACGAACATGTGAAAAAACCAAAATGGTTTTCTTAAGAATTCGCAAGTGCGTGAACGCACGCTTTTGTTGAACATCCGCGTTGCGAGACCCCGTGTGTTTGTATGTTTTTTGGGCGCTCGATTTTGAACTCCTTTCGAAACCTAAGGTTTTTGACGGACTTCGGCATGCGCGCGCGACGACGCGCGCGTGTGCACTTCGTCTCTCTCTTTTTTTTGCAAGGGATTCTCGCGACGGCACGCGCGCGAGGGCGTTCCAACGATTTCGACATGCGCGCGCGAAACCCGTTTAGTAGCATTTTATGAACATGTTGAACAACCAACGGTTTTCTTAAGAATTCGCAAGAACGCGCGCGCACGCTTTGTTGAACATCCGTGTTGCGAAACCTTGTTTTTCCCAACCATCCTGTGGTGTTGGGTCCCCGTTTTGAAGAGACGTCGCCCCGCGTTCCTCTCCTCCTCCTCCTCCTCCTCCTCCCCCTTTCTCTCTCCTCCCGTCATCATCATCATCGTCATCATCATCATCACCATCAGCGTCATCATCATCATCGTCATCATCATCATCATCATCATCGTCATCATCATCACGACCGCCATCATCACCAGCATCATCACCCATGCCGGCACACCCCTCACACGTTTCGT